AAACTACAGTTCCCAGTTTCTACTACAACATTATTTTATATTTAATTTAATTTTTTTAATTCTTAAAATGCAGTCTGCACCTTGTACCGGTGATTTTACACGTAATATAATAAAATTGATACTAGTGATGGGTGCCCGCAGGCGAGTATCCAGAAGATTTTAACAGGGGGTGCTCAAACAAAAAAAGGTGGGAAAGTGGGTGTCTCTCTGCTGTACAGTAGGTCACAATTGGATCACTGTAATCTGGAATGGATAGTGTTAAATTTGATTTCAATGATATAATATCATTGTATAAGAAAAACGATTGTGAGCGAAGACAGTCAGTCAGGCTATAATATTACTATAAGTACCTATATTATTTTTGATGATATTTTTGTGAATAAAGTAATTTATTTACCTATTTACGTGGAACTTTGTTTTAAATTGTCAATCCTTGGCCAAAAATGTTATACATTTTTAACTACAACATAATTTTAAAATTAAAAATTCGACACATTTTGTCAAAATTCGAACTTTCAATACTTATAAAAAAAAAAGCTTGTATGTATTTTAAAAATTTTTCATCTGGTAAAATAAAAATATAGCAGGAGCATTGTATTAAATGTTGATGCTTTTTGGCCCAACAAATGACAATTTATTGACAATTAAAGAAAAAAACTAAAAAAAATTAAAATGTCCGTAGTAAACAGCTCAAAACAGGTCAAAATATTTTGTACATATTATTAAGTAAGGGAATTGATAAGTTGTTATATGCTGTAAAATTCAAGTATAGTGAAGTATCTACAGTTATTCGAGTTTGAATTAGGTACAACAAAATAAGAAAATCGCTACATGTCAACATGAGAAATCGAGAGAATACCCAATGATGTAAAAATTTAATTTGACTTTCCGGTAGATATTTTTTTTTTGATAAAGGTTGACATACTTATGAGGAATCTTGTATTAAATTTTTCAATGTTAGATTTAAAAATAAAATTTTTATGTATTTTTAACTCAAAGTAATTTGCACATTTTCGTATTTTGTCAAAATTTGAACTTTAAATGCTTATAAGAAAAAATTGTGACTGTATATTTAATATTTTTCAAATGTCATTGTTACAAGCTCGAAACAACTCAAAATATATTGATCTTGTGAATTTTATCGTTTACAGAAATTAATGCTAATATAAACATTCAGTGAAAATTTCATGTATCTACTATTAGGTAATTGTTTTAGTTATAAAAAAAAATTGATTTTGTTAAAAACTGATTTTGCTTAAAAATTCCTATTTCGTTATTCTTGGCGCTTTTAAAACTATTGGAATTTTAAATTTTGACCTTCTGAAAGAACCAACTGTATTCACTTTCCCATCGATTGAGATATATATGTATAGGTAAATACTAAATATATATATAGACATATAGCCATATAGGTACTGTAAAAAAACAGCCGGACTTAGACGAAATTATGAACAAAAAAGATATATTTCACTTGTCTCATAAAGTTTGAAGATGTTTAATCAAATAATTTTTTTTATAAATATATATATTTTTTTTTTGACAAAATTTGTTTCTATTATATTAAGAAAATGTTTATAAAATTAAAAATTAAATCATATTGAAAATAAATCGTATAAATTTATTTCTCATTTTCATAATAAAATAAAATTGAAAAGTAAGTATTTAAAAAAAAGGGGTCCGCGGACCAATTTAAGTTATAGCTAGGGGTCCGTGGCTTCACACTAATTGGGAACCGCTGCTATAAATTACTAGTGTAGGTACTTAAGAAGTTTCAAGTTCCAACGAATAATATTATACAATCACAACAAAATAACTAAAACAGTTATTCTAGGTTTTAGATACTGAGTGAAACGATGAATGTATTGATTTTACAATGATGTGTGTTTTTTTTATTTTGTTTTTTATTTTGTTTTTGTCTGTCAATGTCCCTAAACAGCTCAAAATAAGTCAAAATATTTTTAAAAAGGCATGGTGTATAAATGCTAAGATAAACAGTCCATAAAAATTTCGTGTATCTGCAGTCATTTGTTTTAGAGTTACACCAAAAACCAAAAACAATTTTCTCGAAAACAGATTTTGCTTAAAAGTTTCCACTTGCCCACCTTTTTTCTTTTGTTTTTCACTGCGCTTTTGAAAACTACTGGGAAATTTTTACTTTTGACCCCCCAAAGTACCAACTAGATTCACTTTCCTATGAAAAAAGATGCTGTTGATGAAAATCCAAGCACTTTTACTGTCCTAAAACGTGATGACAGACATAAAAAAAAATTAAAAATTAAAAAAAAAAACACACTTCATTGTAAAATCAGTGCATTCAACGTTCCACTCAAAATCCAAAAAAGAACACTTAAAGTGTAGTTATATTTTAATAACAATACACTGGTCACCGGGTAGTGGGTCTTCACATAAAAATTTTGTTTTTTTAAAAAGAAAATCACAATCATTATTTATTTTTGTATAGGTACCTTACCTATAAAAAAATATTATATTATACATAGACCTCAGGGCCCCATACATTGAATGTCTCCGGGGCTCCAAGAATCCTAATTGTGGCACTGATTATAATCAAAAATATATGAAAATACATAATTGTAAAATATTTAATATCTATCATCTAGGTCATAGACTATACGACTAAAGTCGTCGTATTGTCGTAAATACCAATGATGGGTATATAAATAATTGATAGTTTTACATACTTCGCGTAAACATAATGTGTTGTCTGGCGCATTGTATAGGCAAAATAGGTACATCACTGTAGAGTTCAATATTGTATACTGGGGCCGTCCCAAGAGCGCATTCGTCTTGCAGTTTTTTTTTAATTAAAGAGGGCATCACAGAGAAGGTTATAGCCTATAGACATAAATTTAGTCTGACGAAGATAATAAATAATTAGTTATTATTAATTAAAATAAACATATAAATTATATAGCTAAATATATTATTACCCAACCTCAAGGAAGAAAGAGGACATAGGTTTGATATCAATTTATTTATAATTTTTTATTAGACAAAAACACAATTTATGTAATTATGTGCCTATTAGAAATACTCAAAATAATATATATTATTAAAAAAAAAAAAACATACTAAATACATAGTAAGCTACGTATGACCAGCAGCTAGTGTTGGGTACTCAATTGGGTAGTAAAGTAACGCATATTACAAATTATTGTTAGAAAATTACTGTTACAGTAAAGTTGTAGTAATTTCATTTTATTTTATTTAAATTAATGCAATTGTAACAAAATTACTTTTTAAAAGCAATTTCTATGGAGTAACGTGTTATTTTCCACTATATTAAAATAAGTAAATTTATGAATGTAGAATGTATGACAAAAACTAGGTTCTAGGATATTTGAGAAAAATTAAAAATCAATACAATTTATTTACGATTCCGAAAATGTTTTTAATAAATAATAATCAACAATAATATTAAAGTTACCAATAATTAATACTCATACTTTTTGTTCATGTATAACATGAAGTCATTGTACCCACTACTTATTCGTAATGGTTTTATGGACTGATTTTGTAATTAATTTTTTAAAACAGTAACATTTTTGGTAACGCCCTGTTTTTTGAATGTATAGTAAGGTGAGAAAAATAATGTCGGGTAACACAAATATAATTTAAATTAAAATATTTAATGTAACGAGTAATAGTAATTGTATTACTTTTTAAAAATTATATACCCAACAACGCATATGACCACAGTCTTAGACATACGCAGAAAAATACTGTTGTTGAGATTAGACGGATGGGTATCGTCCTAGCAGAGAGAATAGAATAGTATATGTAGTTAATGACATAATGTTATATGTTATCATAAGGTTATGACGATCACTCTTGTTAGCCATTAATTATAAAGAGTGGGTATCATTACAGTTTTAAAAAATTGGTTTTAGTTTATTCTGTATGTATTTTCAAAATAAATGGTATTCCAACAAACCGCATATTTTTCTACTAATTGTACGTAATTAAATATAATATAAAAATATAAATTTAAAATAATTATAAGACATAATATTAGCAACAGGCATTACCAACAAAATGGTTTCATATCTATCTTCATTATAGTTTTGTATTAATATATATCACAGATTATTTTAAATAGGTATTACACTAATCAAAAAGTCCAAGTTGAAATGGCCATTTGGAGTTACCTTTGTGAACGCTATTACAAACAATCAAACATCAAAATATAGCACAATAGTCAACTTCAAAAAGGTGAACTTAGCAAGAGTTGTAAGTGCCAAGACTAATTAATGTGATTCATAGAACTACAGTAGTCATTCAATAATTCGAAATTCAGGGGACTGAGTTAAAAATTTGATTTATAGAGGTTTTCGATTTACCGAGTGTTTGAATAATCCGCAATCCCTTTTTTGTTGTCGGCTATCGACAAACACTTGTATTTTACAGGACCCATATTGTGACTGACTATGTTTTATTTGATTTCAACAACGATTTACCTATTACAGAGGTTTATTTTGGTAAAATAATACAATTTAAGTTTAGATTATGTAGGTAAAGTACAATAACATTTATAAACTACGATAATATTTAACCACCGTCATTATTAGTTTATATTACGAGTACGTCAAATAGATTGTACATATCTTTATGTTATGTACAGTGTACACATTAGTATGAACTTACATATTATAATCGTGTTTAAGGAAATTCAAATTATGGAGGTTTGTAAAAAAAAATTTGAATTGTACAGTGTGTCCCGCCGTCAGGCAATTCAAATTATAGAGGGGACCGGAATACATGTATTTTCTTCTAACTATAGAGGTTTTCTCATGGGACTCAGAATTTAGTTTAATTTATGGAGTTTTTCGAATTATTGAGTGACTGCTGTATAAACATAAAATATATTAAGTTTTGAAAACAATCTAAAATACAATTTTTTAATTCATATAACTTTCACTTTTTTTTTAAATTTATGTTGTAAACTATTATCTAATATTGTGTATTAGGATCAGTAGTTTGATTTAAAATACTCTTGAAGGCATTACTACTTCAATTACATCCTTAACCATGAATCGTATCCTAGGTGATATTTTAGATCTCATTTCATCAGATACCAAATATATTAAATGTTCAAATATATCTTCCAAACTTATCTGTAATTTTTGAAAAAAAGTTAATTATTAATACATTTTATTTAATTATTTAAAATAATTGAATAGTAAATAAAAATAAAAAATACTTTTTCATTTAACTCTTTGCCAGCTACTTTTAAAAGATTGCAGAGATATTCAAGAGACCTTTCTTTAGTTTTAGATTGCAACGTTTTTATACAGTAGTGAACAACGTAAGGAGATAATAATGACTGTTTAAAAATTTCACCAATAAATCTAAAAACAGAAATATTAATAACAATAAACAATTTAAAAAAAAAATCTTATCATATTATTTTCAAACAATTATGTCCTAGTTATCATAGCAAAATGGCTAGGAAAATGAGTCAAAGGAAAAGATCTTTCACAAATAAATCCACATTGGAAAAGCTTACAGATAAAGGATCTATAATTGTTTTAATGTTTGAAAATATAAAAAAAATCTTATGTAGAGCCCTGGATAATATTCTTAACTTTAAATTTGATGATTAGTCAATGAACTCTAATGTTAAAAATTACAGATTGATATGGATTATTCTGAACATAAAATGTCTAATGTTGTGCGTTTGCATGATGGGATTATCCCCCCTGTACTTCTATTTAGCCCCCTAGAGGTTTTACTTTTTAGCCCCTCCTTAGGCTCGTACTTAGAACCCAAATCATTACGGAAAAAAAAATGTGTAAAATAATAAATTATTGTTTTATAAAATATGATATAATATAATTGACATTGTGTACAGTCAGATATGTACCAAGTATGAATTTATAGTAATTATTAGTCTTAGTTTTTGCGGAAGAAATGTGTTAATGTGTCCAAGGTGTATAGCTTATCTGCTTATCGCATATTAGCTTCAAGCTTACCTAAATAACGCCCCTATTATATACAATATTAATATATTATTTTATTACCTTTAAATAGATGCCCGTGTCCCGTATTGGTATACCTAATCTTATAATATTATAGTTACCTATATTAGTTGCATCGCACATTCGTACAACAGTGGTTGAATACTATTATATACTCATTTTAATTCCCAGCTCTCAGTTCTCAATTTACTGTGTGCCTGTGGCACTCTCTGTGCAGACTGCAAAGTAGGTAGGTACTATTACAGACTGTCACAGCCGTTATTTTTAATATTGAGTACGTATACGGTATATGCAGATAAGTTAGATTTTATTGTATACAATTATCAAAATGTTCAGTATATTTAAGTTAAAAAAATCAAGTAGTCCTAAGAACGAAGACGAGCCAAAAAAATTATGGTTTATATTAAATTTTGGTTTTAGCGGACTTTTTGTAACAACTAAATTTCAGTGAATCTTATAAGGGGGCGTGGGGGGCAAAGCCCAAATGTGTTATTTTACACTTAGGTTTTGTGGGGCTCTAGCCCCTGTAACTATTCAATCCTAGTTACGCCCATGGATGGCAGCAATAGATGGGGATATAATACTGTCTGCATAAGTATTTAATTTAAGTAATGTACCTGATGCAACCAATTGTTTGCATTTTAATTCTTCTTTGAGTTTGTTCATGTTCTACAGACATAACTATCTCAGTGTCATCTAAACATTGCTTTTCAAAATAATTCTGACAAACTGTGATTATACATTTTTTAAATGACATCTGGTATGTTAAATGATTTCCACTTTGACAACTTATAGTTATGTCAAGTACTCTGCATAATGAGGCGTATAAAGATCCAAATGAAGGTTCGTCAAAAGCCTGCAACAAAATTTGATTTAGTACATTTTTTATACATGACTTACATAAAATTATAAAAATATAACTATTTTATTTACTTTAAGAGCAACAATATTAGCAACATTTTCAAGACATTCTGCGTTCTCAATTGGCAGTTTTTGAAATTCATCTACTAGCTGATCAAATGTCGTCCATGTAAGTTTGTTTAATATAGATAATACATTTTTATACAACTTAAAAGGATTAATAAAAATTAATTAAGTGTTCTAAAAATAAACATATGTACGCAACATACCGATAAGTAATGAGTTTCTTTCCACACTTGGTGTTCATTGTTTGGCTATAACAAATATAATAAAATATAATTTAAAAAATGGAATTAGCATTAATTTGTTTTAGTTGATAACTACTTGTATATCTGAATTATTGTCATAGAACGTAATTGGATTCAATTGAACAGTATACTGCCAAGAATGCTTTATAATATTTGTTTGTATCTAAAATTGTACAAAAAAAATTATTTTTCATGTATTTCATGATTTACTAATTAAATATTAAGAAAAAAATTACAACTTAATAATGTAACTATCACATACTTCATTTATACTCAGATTCTCCAAGCTTACGTCTTCTGATTCAACCTTAAAAAAATGAATTACAAAATTATAAACATCAGCAAATTAGTTATAAAGGTAATAACAAATTGATTTTGTTTTTTAGCTTCTATTAATTACAAAATATTACAGCTAAACGCTATCATGGCAATAAGTAACAATAACAGTTAAGAATAGATCCCACATTACTCTTTTAAATATTTAAAGTAATATAAATAATAAATTATATTTTTAAAGATCAAATATTGCATATTAAAAAATCAGGCACACTCCTCTCACCATGACATAATCATAAGACAGTCACTATTTTACAGATGACCGTGATTCAACGGCCCAAAGCTAATCAACCATTAAATCCTAATAACAGCTAAACAGTTAATATCAAATATTAGGTATATTACCTCATTTATTCTAAAATTATTCAACACATTTTTTTTGTGTCTATTATTTACGACCATTTTTAAAAATATAATATTGTATGTAATGAAAATGTAATTTTGTGCTCTAAATGGATTCAAAATTGAATTTAAATGAACAATATAAATGTAAAAGAACAAGAAATAAAAATGCTCTTAACAAAGCAAACACTAACAATTAAATTTTTTTAACGTAGACTGTAAACATAAAACAAATAATAATAACAACAATAAAAAATAAAACTATAAAAATATTATAAAATATTAAAATAAATTACTATAATTATATAATCTGTGATAATACTATTTACTAAATGCATTATACATTGATAGTGGATACTTGTAATCACGATGTAGAGAATCCTGCCTGTAATCTACGTAAATAATTCTTATCAGTGGAAGATAAAATAAAATCAATTTTATCTTTTAAAAATAAATCCAATAGGTACCACAATAATGAAATATACAATAGTAGGTACTATTTTAGTAGATTTCTGTAGATCTGTCATCTGTGTCTCCGTCGAAATATGTCGACAATTATTGGCGATTGCCTTAGATGATATTATAAAATATATTATAATATGATAAATCAACAGAACTTATATCATAGAACAGCATAGTGCTCAGCTTATATTATACTCAGTACCTATAGGCTATATTATGGTCAATTGATAAATAGTACCCATTTTCTTTTACAGAAATCTTTGTGATTTTCAACGTATTACGTATCTATTCTTGTTTTCTATTCAAGTTGTTGTTCGCATGCCATACTTGACTATAGAAACTAGACCGACGTTTATAGACATTCTAATTCATTCTCCCGCCGGGGCTCCTAGACCAGTGCCGCAATTAGAATTCTTGGGGCCCCGGACACATTCAATGTATGGGGCCCTGAGGTCTATTTATAAATTGTATAATATTTTTTATAGGTTAGGTGCCTATACAAAAATAAATAATGATGGTGATTTTCTTTTTAAAAAAACAAAATTTTTATGTGAAGACCCACTACCCGGTGACCTATTGTTATTAAATTTTAACTACACTTTAAGTGTTATTTTTATTAGATATTATAAATATTAATCATTATTTAAAGCTTTTGTAAAAATATATGGTTCTAAAAAAAGTATTGCATAGCATAAAGATTGTGTAGGTACCTACCTATATTATATTTAAACATATAATAAGGTATATAGAAAAAATCTTTACCATATTTAAAATTATAAAAAACGAATCACAAACAGATTCAAATAGGTAATAATAATTAATAAGATATCAATAATTGATCATGCATACAAAGTATACATACAAGGTACTCATAGGCGTGAGCAGAATTTTAGTTCCGTGGATGCACACTGAAAATTAGGGCAGACAATAATTTTGAAAACATTTATAGATACAGACAAATTTTTTAAAGATATCAAATGCACTAAATATATTTATTTGATTTTATTATTCATTCTAATAAATATTTCATAACAATATATTTATATATACAATCTTATAAATTATAATGATAAACGACGTTTAAAAGAAACAATATTTTTGAATTCGTCAATAATTTCATTAATTTAATTTACACTTAATTAATAATTAGGGCCCTTGTCATTTTTGGTGCAGCGCGGGCCCGGGGTTGCCCAGCCACCCTGTGGCACACGCTTATGAGGTACTTGATATTAATAATAGACATTTTAATTAAACAAATTAGATAATATAATATGGTATACCTTAATACCTACTACCTACATACCTATATAGAAAAAAGATAATTAGGTACAAACAATATGCAATACAATTATACAACTTATTTCAAGTCATTGACAACGTGTCATAAATTAGAATGCTATAAAAATCATAATATGTGCTATAGAAAAAGAATAATTATACAAATTAAGAACAGAAATTCATTTTTCTTGCTTTTAAATTCGCAAAGTAATTTAAAACATTTCCCTAATTTCATTAAGAATTCAGATGTACCTATGGCGTGTTGTTCAACATTAAATATAGCTCTATACTATATTGTACTATAGAATTCTTCGAAAATTCTTAATAAGTTTTAATTTGGAAAATGATCTCTCTACAGCAGTGGTTCTTAACCTTTTTCGAATGACGGAACACTTAACATTTTACAAGATTTTCGCGGAACACAACCGTAAAATAAAATAGTAGTACATACATTTTTAATTTTTTAATATATTAAACAATGAATGTATAGCATAAAATTGTTTGCATGCCATACATGTTAGTGTTAGTCACTAAAAAATAATAAAATAATAAAAAGAGTTAAAAAAAATTTAAAAATTTGAAATCGAATACTTTGTATGAGATATTTGTGCCTGATGATTTTTACAGATATTTTCAATATCTGGCCGTATGTACGATATTGCTACTCTCATTTCCTCTTCAATATTTGTCAGCCTTTCTTGTTTCTTTCTTTTGATATTCGTCAGTGTTGAAAATCCAAGCTCACATAAGTATGAGGTTGAAAATTGTAATAATATTGAAATTGCTTTTTCAAAAATTTTTTTAAATTCGGTTTGAACTGAAATCCAAAATTCTTCTACTGTTATTTCGGAAAATTTTATTTTTAGAGTTCGATCTGTTGTTAGCGTTATGAATTCTTCCTCTTCTTCTAACGTAAATTCATAACTTGACGTGTTGATACTTGATGGTAGAAAATGGATTTCGTATCCAATCATACTTTTCAATATTCAATTCAGGAAAGTATGCTAAATGTTCTGTTATAATAGGAATTATTTTATTATTATTTTTAATTGAAGGAACATGTCTACCGTATTTTTTTGAATTATACGCGTTCTCCAAAAAGATATTTTTTTTTAAATGTTAACAGTTTATCCGTGGATGTAAGAATATTTTCGTTTTTACCTTGCATACCAGCATTTACGTTATTTAAATAATTAAAAATATCAGCTAAATATGTCATTTTAACACACCAAATATCGTCTGTATGAAAAGATATAAAAACAGTGTTACCTTCGTTTTGGAAAAACATTAACAATTCATTCTTAAGTTCCAGAATTCGATTTAGAACTACAGTGACAACTTTAGGTGGTAATACTAAAAACATCACTCGACTTGTTATGTAATAACACCATCGGGTGGGTGTTAGAATTATTTTTGCACCATGAACTTCGTAAAGCTATACCATAAAAACTAATAATTTCTGGCAGTTAATTTTTGCATCATATACATCTTAACTGGTTGTAATACATGGGTTACCGAAAAAAAAAATTGTAAAATTTGCGTGAGCCCTTAACTAAATTATAACACTAAATTTAAAAAAAGGTGGGCAAGTGGGTGTCGCTCTGCTGTACAGTAGGTTACAAGTGGGTCACTGTATAATGGATGGTATTAAATTTGAATTCAATGATATAATATCATTGTATAAGAAAAACGATTCTGAGCGGTGACGGTATGTCAGTCTATGTATAAGACATATTATATACATATCTATGGTATTAAACAAAAAATTGACCTATAATAGGTACCTATAATAAATTCCAAACTAATCATATCACAATATCCATTAGATACTTATAACGCGTTATACATCAACAAAAACCGTGATACTATCATAGATATATAATAGTACACTTTAGAAGTTTCAAGTACCCACGAATAATATTATTCAATCACAACAAAATAACTAAAATCGTAATTATTGGTTTAAATATGAAATTTTGTCTAAATTTGAAATTAAAATGTCTGTAAAAAATAAGTGTGCTTATATATTTTTTAGATTTTTTGGTTACAGTATGAATTATTTAAGAGAATCTTTGTTTTAAATTTTCAATTCTTAGTTATAAAAACTGAACATTTTATAATTTTTTAATTCCAACGATTGATAATTTTCGAGATTTTGATAAATTTTGTCAAAATTCCAACTTTAAATGCTTATAAAAAAAAAATCGTGCCTATGTATTTTTAATATTTTTCAACTGATATTGTAACAATATATCAGGAGCCTTGTATTAAATTTTTACACTTTTTGGCCCAACAGACAGTGTTGTAAAAAATACTTTTAAAAAGTATTTGAGTAATTACTCAAATACTTATGAAATAAAGTATTTAAAATACCACTCAAATACTATCTATTGTAAAGTATTTGAGTATTACTCAAATACTTTTTAGAAGTATTTGAAATAATTTTCAAATACAAAACAAAAAAATCAATTTATTTCTGAATCATTCATATATCATTCAATAATGTATTATATTAAGAGGACGCTACACCCGCATGTGTTGTCTCCGTCTTACAAACGCGTAACATAGCAAATTACGTCCACGGAAAACAAACGAATCGGCATCAAAAAGTGGTTTTAGAGTAAAAATACCTATAATAAAACTTAAAGAGAACAATATTTTGGAGGGAACCTCATCGGCGTTTTTAAAAATATTAACTATTAAAAAAGTTGTGGTTATTTAAAAAAAAGAGTTTTTGTGCCTTCAATATCTAGCTGTGTATTTAGATTAATACAAAACCCCGATGAGGTTCCCTCCGAAATATTGTTCTCTTTAAGTTTTATTATAGGTATTTTTACTCTAAAACCACTTTTTGATGCCGATTCGTTTGTTTTCCGTGGACGTAATTTGCTATGTTACGCGTTTGTAAGACGGAGACAACACATGCGGGTGTGGCGTCCTCTTAATCAAATATTTGAGTGTTGCATTTTAAGAACATTATTTGTTCAAAATGCTTATCTGTCATATTTGTTCTTTTTTTTGTTTCTTATAAGGTGAAGTGGGGTAACTGCGACGGAATTTTGAATAGTTCAACTTGATCTGTCAATTTCTCCTGAAATAATTAACTTAAAAATATGATGATTATTGCAATGTACTGATATGGAAGTGGTCTATCTAAGTACACTGTCAACATTATGTGAAATATCTTAAAAACATTTTTACGATTGAAAAAAAAAAAAAAAAAAAAATGTCGCACTTGCCCCTTGACAAGGGGTAAGTGCAAAACGGACTGTTTAAAAATACTAATACCACTGTTATTTAAACGTGGGGTAAGTGCCTTA